ATCAAAGCGAGTTGCCATGACAGGCCCGAGCCAAGAGAATTTTACCGCCTAAAATCAAACTGCCAACACTTATGCAGTAATTAGAGCCCTTCTGTCTCTTGATGTTAAAAGAAAAATTCTTGAAGAAAAAACAATCATACTGTTTTTAATGGATGGATAATGTTTTTGTTTTTTTTACTTTGTTGAGTCTATTGTTTTGCTCATTTTTAAGAATGTTTGTCCCCAGTCAGATTTTCAAACACTCTATAAAAGAATAAGCTTTAAAAACATATATTTACTCAAAACAAGAAAACTAAAAACACATCTCTTCCATGTACACTTGACCCTCTAACACTTGCACTCTGTAATCTATTTCTATTTTATCTACTTTTCTTTTTATTTATTTGACCTTCTAACACTTGCACTTTCTATTCTATTTCTATTTTATCTACTTGTTTCCTTTTTATTTATTTATTAAAAACATGACCTAACACTTTCACTCTCTATTCTATTCCTGTTTTATCTAATTGTTTTCTTTTTATTTATTTATTTAAAAAACATGACCTTCTAACACTTGCACTCTCTATTCTATTTCTATTTTATCTACTTGTTTTCTTTTTATTTATTTATTAAAAACGTGACCCTCTAACACTTTCACTTTCTATTCTATTCCTGTTTTATCTAATTGCTTTCTTTTTATTTATTTATTTATTTAAAAAACATGACCTTCTAACACTTGCACTCTCTATTCTATTTCTATTTTATCTACTTGTTTTCTTTTTATTTATTTATTTAAAAAATGTGGCCCTCTAACACTTGCACTCTCTATTCTATTTCTATTTTATATACTTGTTTTATTTATTTATTTATTTCATATATTTATTATTAAAAACCTTGACCCTCTAACACTTGCACTCTCTATTATCTCTATATCTTTATTTCTATTCTACTACTTGTTTTCTTTTTTTTATTTATTATAAAAATGGACCCTCTAACACCAGCGTTGTCTATTTTTTTTCTACTCTACTACTTGTTTTCTTTTGATTTATTATTAAAAAATGGACCCCATAACACTAGTGTACTGTATTCTTTTTCTTTTCTATCTACTTGTTTCTTTTTATTTCTTAAAAAAAAAACACCTTGCAACGTGTACTGCATTAGACTAACTGAGATTTGTCACAGCATTTTATTGCTCTTTTGTTGATTTTGATTGCTTCTATTGTCCTAATTTGTAAGTCGCTTTGGATAAAAGCCTCTGCTAAATGTAAATGTAATGTAAAAAACATAAATGCATTATTTCTTCAAAATTAATTTTTATTACATTTATTTTAATTTAGAATTGTACTATTTTATTATTACTATTATTATTATTATTATTCTTGTTGTTGTTGTTGTTGTTGTTGTTTAATAATTAATCTATTTTTAGATGACCACATTTCTGGCAGACCAGTGTAGTGAAAGTTTGAAAACTATAAATTTCGTTTATTTTAAGAATTTTAGATTTTGATCTGATAGTTTGAAAACGTTCCGTTTTTAATAATTTTAAATCAGAATTTCTTCTTACTTTTAAGTATAAAATTAACTGACTGCTAGCAAACTTGTTACATTACGAAGTCCAATGTGTTTTACATCAATAATTAAAATAAAAATGTCACTATCAACACATGCTATAACAAAACTCTACTTGCAGGCTGATTAAGGCTTTATTTCAAGACATGTCATAAACTCGGGTCTCAGGAAAGGACAAAAATATGTGTGCTTATTTAGAAGATCTTGGTTGTTGTATTGCCTTTTGAGAAAAAGTATCATGGATAGCATATTAATTGTGAAACTTACAACATATTAGACGGCATTACGTTAGCAGAGTGCCTCCAGATACCATTTTGGGGAAAAGATCTGCCTCTCGTTAAAAACCATTTAGGCTTTATATAAAATGGAGAAAGATGAAATACACTATAAAATGTGCGGCTAGAGGACAACAAACTAAATGGAGCGTGTTGGGTCTATTTTAACCACTAAATGTTTTACAGATTTGATCGTCCTAACAAAATTCCAACTATTACATTAAAGATTTTAGTTTTCAACCAAACTGAATCCAAAGATGAATGAAAGATTTGTGAGAATAAACCCCATTATTAAAGACTGGCAGTTTGAGGCTTTTTTTGTTCATGTCAGTTAGCTTTAAAGCCATTTAATAAAGTGACATACAGAACAATCAGTCCAGATTATGCAATGTACGCAATGTCCAGATGGAAATGTTTTCAGGTGACCATCGAGCACTTATTCAAAAACCTCACATCTTATGTCATTCTGTGGTTTTCAAGGACAGAGCATGTGGATCGTTTCATTAGAGAAAAACTAAATGTGTACTGAGAGAACAAAAAAACACAAGACATGCCATGTCCTACATTACACCGAGTGGACATCAAAGACCAGGACAAGGGGCCTCTATTTCAGTATAATTACGGCATTTCCCAACTGCAGGGCTTCACCAGGCCTTGACACTTTCAACTCATAAACAAATCCTTAATGAACTTGAACTCTTCTGCAATGACTCACCCTGCCCTCACATTACAGTTCCATGGAAAAAGACAAAAACTGAAGCTTCACGCTGCATAATTAGTAACCCAGTAACTGTCCGGGTTATAAACCTAAGCTTGAGCAAATACATATGAAAGCTTTTAGACAGCCTAAGCACAATGTATGAAACCCCATCTAGGGCCTCAAACAAGCGAAGTCTTGGAGCAGCCAAGAGCCAACACACCGTCAGTGTGCCAGCGAGAAAGTCGACCACGTCCCCTTCGCTGAGGCCCTTTTCCCTTGACAGAACAAAGAGCACTCAAGTTTAATTTGAAACTGATTACAGCCACTCATAATGCGTGCTGAAATATGTGTTGGAAACGAGTGTGCTGAATGAGGAACAGAACTTGGCGAGTCGGAAAACCAGAGAGGATTCAGTTAAAGAGTGGAGAGAGGGGTTGGAGCCGCGCATTCCACCGCCAAACTAACTTCGCAGGCGTATCGCTTTCCTGCATTTAGAGGCTTTTTTTAAACGTGTTTTTCTCATGTTTGCATTCCGCTTCTAGTATTTACTGTATATAAACGTTCGAGACCTGAGGAATGCACATCTGGGAAGATGTTCTCCATGTAGGGTTCAGCTTCTTGAGAAGATGATGTTCCTAATACCTGGCTAAAGCAAGGCCTTGGTGTGGAAACTAAGAGAGTTTTAACAGTTTGGACTGTGCAACCAGTGTACAGCTGATCCAAGGTTAAAATACACACAGTGTATAATATATACACAGAGAGATTGACTGGAGACACTGTTCCCAAACAATTTAAAAACAAAGACCTTTACAAATTAACTGTCTCGCTCTGCTTTATGTATAGATGTTCAAACTATTATGTTTAAAGTCCACTATAACTGACAAGCTGTTGTGCTTATGAAAACACATTGGAGTAAAGAAGGGTAAGAGAAAGCAGGGACAAGTGTAGCACTCAAAATGTAACTTCTTTTTTTGGTTTTGTCAGTAACTTTTTGGAATGTATTTCCCATTACAGGTTATTTGTCTTGCTTGTTTATGTAGTCTCATATAACTTAAACTCTTAAAATATGTCCATTAGACACTAAAAAGCACCATCTGAACTTCATGAAAGAATTAACAAAAATAAAGTGTAAAAAAGTCACAGAAGTTTAAGTTTACGGTAAATAAAAATTGACTGTACTATTTTTACATGTATAATGAATATTATAATACATATCAATAAGTATTTTGGAATCTAAAATAAAAAGCTACACAAAAAAAGTAAAAAAATAAAAAAAATAAAAAAATCAAAGCCATATGTTCCAAATTTGAAGTTGATATCACAAAAATTGAGGTTCCTGTGCAATTTTGTTTAGGCACTTTGCCAAAAATACTAACCAGTTTGCACCCAATTTATTTATTTATTTTTTGCATTTTCCCATTTTCCTGTCACATATTCATAAATTCTGTCACAATATTACTTCTATCACAAAATAAACACTAAATATGGAACCTTGGAGACTCAGAACCTTACTGTGTTTAAAGTAGAATTTAAAGTAGCCTACAACTTCCATGCTAATGCAATGTCTGATTTCAATTTTGAGTGTTTAGTTTTTGAATGCTGAAACGTCTGGTAGGGAAAAAGGCAATAAGCAATAAAAGTGTGACACTGTTACATTTATCAAAATTTCTATTACAATTATAATCAGTGCAACAAATGTAACATTTAATTTAACTGTATAACTGCACGTTTTACATTTAATGACTGCTAACATGTTAAATCAAAATAAAAGAGTAAAAAAAAAAATCCATGCTCTCTTTTATAATGCAGCAGGGATTTAGTCATGTGACACTGGCACAGTTAATGCTTGGACACAACATTTCCCTGTGCACAGCCTACTATTGCCAATACAGTCACTTCATTACTAAGATTATCATATTTGGTTACATTATTGATGAAGATGATTAGATAAACATAAATTAAAAATAGATTAAAAGTGCAATGCAATACAAAAAAAAAAACTACTTGTCAAAAAATTGTTAAACATTTTTTTTTTAAATGTAAAAAAATATATATAAATCGTTTAAAATATGTTTCTAAAAGTGTTTATTCTTTAAAAGTATTTATTATTTTATTATAAACAGTAGATTTTCCCGTCTTCAACAGCTATAGGATAAACAGATTTAACGTAGTACACAAGTTAGTACGTTCCTCTATTCCACAATACTGTACATAAAACATTATCGCGTATTCAACAGGTTCCAAGCTGCTACACTCGACGTTATTTCAGTTTTTCAAATATGAAGACTTAAAACATGTCGTTTTTAACATGAGAAACTGTTTATCAAATGTCCAAGCGCAGCTCCCAGAGCTCAGTTATATGATCTCCTTTGGGTCGCCCAAAACTTTCCTCTCGCTTTCACTATGATGCCGTTACTAATACAGTAAACCTTTTTTCCCAAAGTGCAACTTTTCAAGTGTTTCTTGTCAATCCTTACCTTACTTTTCTTCCAACATTAAACGAGCATTTTGACGCGGTTTCTCTCCATCGCCTTGGCTGCGCTTCACCTTCGTAGTAAAGTCAGAGGATTTCGCTGCGACTTCCCCTCCGCGGCTCCCATTGGAGAAGAGCTCTGTCAGTACTCACGCGCTCGCGCCAGCATTTCCTGTCACAGAACAATCCTGGGCGGTGTTTCCAATGCCATACTACCCATTCCTATACTACCATTCCTTACGCACTGCTTTTCAAGTATGCACTATGTCTTCTGCACAGTATTTTCTGTATTGTCTGGAATCCCCTGATGATGCCTGAAAATTAAGTAACGTTTTCCCCCCTCCTCCAAAAACGGTTACCACTTGGCCAAACGTTGGTGCATCCACCACAAATCAAATACGATAAAATAAAATATAAAATAAAGTAAAATGAAATGAAATAATAAAATAAAATACAATGAAATAAAATAAAATAAAATAAAATACAACAATAAAATAAAATAAAACTTATTTCCACATCTGGCAGGTTATTTTATACATTGTGATCCAGCATTAATTATTATAGCAGTAGCATTGTAGTAATATCTGGCTTTTGAAGAAAAAAAAAAAAAAAAAAAGTTATTAAAACATATATAAAAAGTATATTTTAAAACATATATAAGCTTTTGTGTCAAAAGAGCAAGTATTTTAGCAATTACTTAATTACTGACAAAATGTCCAAAAACCTCCCTTTGGGGACGTCCTCATTTGTGAAACTGGTATAAAAATAAAGTAAACAAAGTTTTTTTTTTTATTTAAAAATGCAGAAAGTTTCCTGTAAGGGGTAGGTTTAGGTGTAGGGTGATAGAAAATACAGTTTGTACAGTATAAAAACCATTACGCCTATGGAATGTCCCCATTTAGATAGCTAAGTAAACATGAGTGTGTGTGTGTGTGTGTGTGTGTGTGTGTGTGATTTGCCACCATGGAAGCAATACTACATGATGAGTATTGCTATGATTCATGTACAATGTTGAGCAATTATTTTAGTGTTTGTCCAGTGATATTAATATTTGCATTTGCATATAAATATTACCTCAATGCTAAAATCTTTTTTTCCCCAATCAGAGCCAACACTCAGTATTTATTTTTTTTAGTTTGTTTTTACATTTTTGTCAACATTAACATAAGGATTTGTGTGGGTTTGTACGCTCTAATCGTAATTTTGCATTAAGATTAGAGCGTACACATGAAAGACAAGTTTGCTTGTACACAAGATCTCACTGATGCCATTTCTCACAATCTGACAAGCAACAATCATAAAAGCAAGAAAAAAGCAAGTCATACAGTGTGTATCCCGTTTTAGCCGTGAAAACGCTTATTCAGGATTTGTTTTACATACAAGCAATAACATTTAGGAGTAAGTGAAGTTAAGCTTGAATAAAAGTAGATAGTTATTAAATGTCATTATGGCATTACTGTTGTATTTTTATATCCAAAGAAAAAGGAAAAATTTAAATCGCATCATATGACCCCTTTAAGTTCCTGATACAGTTTGCCGAGAGGTAAACGTGTCATACGTCAGAAAACGTGTTTCCTGTCAGACTCCTGTGTATGAACTTATTCAGTCGGTTTGCCCATTCAAAACGCTCTTCCAGTCACAAAGTTGAAATGGATAATTACTTTCGTGTATTGTTTGGCTGTTGTGATAAATTTCCTGTTGTTTACACAGATTTGCTATCGTAAACTACGCTTGTTTTTCATTGAAATGTTACGTGGCCTTGTTTTATTTTGGTGTTTTCGCTGTTTTTAAAGCATGTCATTCAGAATATGCTATTTTTAATTCAAAATAAAATATTCATTGTATTCATTCAAGCATTGTAGTTTATTGTTTTTGTAGTAAATACGTTATATTGATATTTTGAAGTTTGCGTTTTCACTATTTTACAAACATATATTTCAAACATGTTTTGCTTTGATCCAAAACAACCTAGATTGCATTCAAGGTAGACTTTTTTTTTTCTTTTCTTTTTTTATCAGTTCTTGCTTTCCTTGGGAATCAAATCCATGATCTTGGCATTGTTATGCTCTTGTTTGAGTGACATTTGAATTGTTGGTGTGGTTTCTGAAATGTTAAACTTTTGATAAAGGCATCACATGTATTCATTTGTCAGAGATGTCACTGCAGTGACAATAATGCAGTTTTGATGGGGGTGCTTAAGTGTAATCCACAGATAATTCATCTAGCAAGTTGTTGTGCCAGAAACACCCAGATGTGATAAACAGTTGTCACATCCTGTTATGATTCATGTGCTTTATTCTCTATGCAACTCTGTTTCATCGTATCATCATTCGCTCATAGCAGTTTACATGCTGTCATTCTCTGTAAATTAGTGTCAGGTATGCTATTTCCTTTTATGTTTTACAAAGTTTTATATTAAAGGAATAGTTCACCCAAAAATTATCGCTGAGAATGTCCTCACCCTCAGACCATCCAAGATGTAGATGAGTTTGTCTTCATCATATATGTATAAACGTAGCATTACATCACTTGCTCACCAATGGATCCTCTGCAGTGAATGGGTGCCGTCAGTTTAAAGTTAAAAATGTCTTGATGTTTTGTTTCTTACAAACGCGCATCTTTTGGCTTCTCAAGTCATTACTTGATGGACTGGAGTGGTGTGGATTATTGTGATGTTTTTATCAGCTGTTTGGACTCTCATTCTGACGGCACCCATTCACTGCAGAGGATCCACTGGTGAGCAAGTGATGCAATGCTACATTTCTCCAAATCTGATGAAGAAACAAACTCATCTACATCTTGGATGGTACATTTCAGTTTATTTATTTTTTTTAGGTGAATCATTCCTTATAAATAAATAAACACTTAGCACTATACAAAACATCATAACCTCAAATTAAATAAAAATAGTACCTCATAAAACATTATTTCATAATGATATCAAAGTTAAGTATCGTGACATTACACATCAGTAAGAATTACTGTATCATGATGAAAATAAAAACATACAAAATAGGCCTACAAAAACAAGTTTCCAAAGAAGTGATAATAGCAGATTTGCATACCAGAGTTAAAGAAATGAATAGAGGTGCTAAGAGATTTTAGTTGCAATCCTGCTTTAACACACCTGAATACCTCGATCACCCTTTATGTCGTGTAATGTAACCAGAAGCTGTATCTTTCAATACATAATTTTAGACATTATGTTCTTTTTCTGTGTCTATAGTGTACAAATAAAAATACTGGATGGATACAAAACTGTTAGTTTGTGGAGCGAGATATCTAGGTCTCTTGTTTGTTTGCTGGCTGCATTATACAATCTAATGGCTATGCTTTAATCAACTATAGAAAACAACGGGGGGGATAAATCAGTGAACAGCTTTGATCACGATGAACGCACAAAACACTGATTGTTGAAATTACTAGGGTATGTCCTTATTATTTTCAAAAGTATAGTCAATAAGAAGAATGACCGAAATTATACTACAGTAGCCTATAACATGTCATTCTTCTAAATAAACTGTTACATCACTTATTATTAAAGTGTTCACGTCTTCATTTATTCCAAGAAGGTTCCTCCTCCTCAAGCAAATATTTTTGTTTTCCCATTTCAAAAGTGCAGTGGCAGAAACTGTTGGTGGATAATAATCATCTAAAACCTTTAATCTGTTAAACCACAGAGTGGAGGAGAAGTGAATGAATATGTTCCCGTTTTAAACACTCTGGAACATGTCTCATCTTGACAATAAAAGCAGTCGCTGGAGCACAGGTGATTTTTATATGGAGTGGATACTTCAACAGCGTATCAAAATTCAGATGATGCTATTTTGTCTTTAACTTGTCCAGTACTGCATTTCAGAAGTTACATTTGCAGTCTGTAATCTGAGCAAGAGAACCAGATGCAGCAGATGTCTCGCCACATCAATCCCCACAAATATGCTACCCAATATATAGGCTATTAATCTTCAAATGATGATGTTGTGGCCTTTAAACTGAAACCTCAGACATCACAAAAGCTGTTGGCTAATCTTACATTATATGCAAATGAACATGTCAGTCTCATTTTCATAGAACAGAACAACACGATATGTTTCTTTGAAATTATATCAGAATCTGCAGTCAGGCCTATTTCATTTCATTTAGGCCTGATCTAAAGATGGCGGCCAATTATTAGTTGATTAACCATTTGAATGTCCAACTATGATTGTTCCAATCAAATTCAGTTATATTTACATAGGAGACTTGAAGTGTTTAGTTCATAGTCTCTGTTTTCTGAATCTGAGAGGGATTTACTTCGTCCGTTTCTAAACAGCTGTTTGGCGACATCTTCTGGAAACATCTTATAAAACACTATCTACTAACATTTTAGCAAATCTCAAGTTAAAGTATTCAACTCATCCAACACTCTTTTCTATCTTTCTATCAGTGCTGGTCTTATAAAGTATCCCGTTACGCTGTGAGAAACCACTGTAAACAATTCAGAGCGCGAGTGAACTGTCGGAATGAATCGGACTGAATCCTTTCAGACTTTAGATCGAATGAGTGATTCGTTCGCGAACTTCGCATCGCTTGCTCTGATTTCAAACAGATGATAACATGCACATGCATGATTATCAGGGGAAATTACTCCCAGGTCACTGTATGGTAATCTCCAGTGACATATGGATTTATCAGTGATGTGATCTGCATAAGTACAATACAAAATAAAATAAAAAAAGCGTAAATTATGTTTTTAAAGTTTATTTGTTTTGTTGTGTGCTTTTCCCCCATTTTGAGCACGGCTCCTGAAACTTGTTTTAAAGGAACAGTTCATCCAAAAAATAACATTTGCTGTTAAAGGCAGGGTATGTGATTTTTCAAAAACACTTTAGAAAACTGATTCGGGCCGAATAGCAAAACAAACTGTAACATTGGTTTTGCTTTGTTTCACAGAACTAATCGTTGCCTGGGTTGCGTACGTATATGTGGGGCGGAGCTATCAAAATAGGGGCAAGACCCTTTTGGGGTAGGGGCGTGTTTGTTTTGGTGATTTCAAATATCAACATTTGCTACCAGAAATCCCTTACTCTGCCT